ATGAAAGATATGTGAAATTATATTAGGTATTATTCTGCTGTACATGAGACCTTCATTCCTGCCAGGATTGCAAACTACTCTCATTACTTCTAGTAATACTACTCCTATTGTCTTGCTCCTGCTATGTGCAGCTTTTCCATTTATCACTTGCTAGACCAGTGGCATACATCTATTTCTGTAAAACCTCATAACAGAATTATGTTATTATTTGGGTTATAGATGAGGAGAATAATAATTAAAAGCAATTAAGTAAGCTATCCAAGATTATAGGGCTATAAAAATACATAACTGGGATTACAAACAGGAAGCCAGATGTCTGTGCTTATATGTCTAACCCCTGCTCTGTCCTGTTTGCATATTCTATGAATATGCAAATACTCTGGAAAGCTCCTGACAGCAAAGCAGAAATCGCATACAATGATGCAAAGTGCATAGAAAGCTAATTCTATACCATGCCAGTCTGAGATGGGTATAGGAGCTATCATAAGGAAAAGACATAAAACAGATAATGTATGCCAGGCTCAAACTAGCCAAAAGAGAATTAAAAATGCATTGCTTTCTACCGCCCCCCCCCTTGAATTCTAACAGGCTTCATTAACTACTCTGTAAAAGAATTTGGACAAGGATTTTCTAAAGTGCTTTGGCAAGTGATATTGTGTCACAGTCTTTAAAAACACTTTGCATGAAAAAAAAATAAAATAAAAACACTTTACATGGAAGTATGCTCCCTCATGGAATCTAGCTCTAGATGAAGCTATAAAATATTCTGAACACATTCATTCAGTCAATTAATAAAATATAGTTTTATGAGCTGTTTCCATCATGGTTGAATTGTGGCTGACTTTTTTTAAAATTAGGGTTGGGATGAAAGCTGTTCTAGTATGTTATTTTTAAAAATTTTTAATTGTATTCTTTGCATAGACCAGTTATACAGAGTATCATTGGAAGACACTTTTAGACAATAAATAGTAAACAAGAGTTCCATAAGAAATTAGCCATATTATTGTTAAACCAAAAAGATTGTTGAGTCTTTTAGTTGGGACTCCTAAAGGAGTTATTGTATGCCAGGTATGGTGGCTCATGACTATAATACCAGCTTCAGAAAAAGAAGGAACATGAGATCAAAGCTTGCTATAGCAAAGGTTCTTTAACCCAACTCAAAGACAAACATGAAGAAGGGAAAAGAGTGCTTGGCTTATGTTCTAATGTGTTTGCCATCAAGCAGGAGGTCTTAGGTCCACTCCTTAATACCACAATAAGTTAAATAAACAATGAAATCATCATAAACCTGTAGGTCCACTACTAGTAATGTTACCACCTCAAGGGAATGCAGTACTGCTTGGGAAATAAGTCACCCTTAGTGAAGGAGAATTGGACCCTCAATAGATGAAAAGACAAAGTAGATATTTTTTTTGAACATCTTTGCCCATATTCTAGTCCTACTGATGATTGCATATTTGGATATCAAGATTCCCCAAATTAAACTCTGCCAGTTGGAAGATCTTTAAGTCCAACATGGATAACATAATAATTATCCACCAGCCCATTTCCCTTCACTCTTTCACTCCCATCCGGTGTTTAGAAGGCAGTGGGTGTTAATGAGGGGTTGCAGAGGCATCTATTCAGATGCATGGATAGACTTGATATTTAAACCTATTACTATATACCTTGCCCATTAACCAGTGCATACATGGGTCCCCTCCCTTGGAATCTAAGACAACAGCACAGTCTTTGTGATTCCCAGTTCTGCCCTTTCCAAGTATTGTTCACCCTTCATAGAAGCAACACCCCCAGAATTAAATGTTTTCTGGGTGACCTCCCCCTCTAGCATCAGATAGATACAGGCCAAAGATTCCTTCACAAAGGAAAAGATACAAACCCCTCCTTTTCCTCCTCCCTCTTCTTTAAGAAGGTCATTACTTAGCTCCAGCAAGTGGTTGAGTATTCAAATTTCTTCTCCTTGATAAAGAGTGTGTGCACTTTCCAAGTGTTTAAACTTCATGAGTTCTAAGAAAAAAAAAAGGTATTTCAGAATTAAGATCGGTATGTATCAATGAAGAGCTGTCTCTACAAAAGTATTAAGCTTGGAATAAAGAATATTAATCCATTTCCACCAACTTATTTTTGACTGGGAAAAGAGAATCTCTCCCTCCCTCTTTTGCACCCTCTCCCCATACACTCAGAGAGCACCTGCTGGGCAGTTTCCTTGTTAGAGCTGAACTGTTGCTTACTATCAGACCTGAGTTAAGTCCCTGCAGAAAATGGTTGTTGGTTTTTAGACATCAGTATTAGAACCACCTTGGTGTATAGTTAAAAGCTCTACTCTTTGACCAAATCTTCAAAATGAACTCATTTGTTAAGCCTGGGTATGACCTAGGTCTCTACATATTCCAAAAAATTGTCTCAGATTTGAGAAGTTACATTGTGAACTGAATTTGGTGTTTCTGGGCTTACTTGGTAAACCTGGGACATAGGCAGTTTAAACTCATTCATATTTTAGTGGTCACTGTATTAGATTGAACCAAAAGCAGTAAATTGTGTATTTGAAACCATAAAATAAAACATATTAAATATGTTACATTTTAAGTCATCCAACAGTTCTTAGATAAATATGTTTTTGGGCTAGGTTAAATTACTATACAAAATTATTAGAGATAATGCCCAAATTTAGGGTAAATGAATAACTAAATGTGTAACCTGGTAAATACTTAGTAACCAAGAAAGAAATTCCGATTCTTTTGACTAATTTTTAGCAGTGATTTGCTACTGATTTTTTTTATGGTTGTTTGCTTGATTTTTGGTTTTTGGGTTTTTTTAACCAGTCCTGAGGCTTGTGAACTCAAGGCAGGGCACCGCTGTACCTCAGCATCTTTTGCTCAAGGCTAACACTCTACCACTTGAGCCATGATGCCACTTCTGGCTTTTTCTGTGTATGTGGTACTGAGAATTAAATCTAGGGCTTCATGCATGGTAGGCAAGCTCCCTACCATTAAGCCATATTCCCAGCCCTTGCTAAATATTTTGAGAGTATAACTTGCTTTCTGTAACTTCAGCCATCTCTAAAGATGAAATCTAAAATTATAAATTCTACCCATTTCCTACAAATAAAATGAAGATAAGATGTTGTAAAATAACAAAATTTCTCAAGAAAAGTTTATCAGATAAGATGCAAAATGCTATATTCATTTTTATCTTTTGGGTTGGAGAAGTGAGGTTTTTGTTGTTGTTGATTTTTGTTTTTATTTGTTTTGTTCTGTTTTTGTGCTGGTCATAGGGCTTCAACTCAGGACCTGGGTACTGTCCCTATGCTTATTTGTTCAAGTCTAGTACTCTACCAGGTGAATTAGGAGCTCCACTTTGGGCTTTATTTATTTTTTAATGGTTAATTGGAGATAAGAGTCTAAAAGACTTTCCTTCTTGGACTGCATACTATGATCCTCCTGAGCAGCTAGGATTACAGGAGTGAGCCACCAGCACTGGCTAGAAGTGTTTTGAGATGTGGTATTGAATCAATGGATCAATTGAATCATTTAATCAATAACAATTTGGAAGAAAATTAATTATCCTTCAACAAATGAATAATCAGTCACCAAAGAGCATAACAAATCAGGAGCCCTGACCTTATAAAACTCTAATTGGGAGGACAAAGATGGTACATTTATTTATTTATTTATTGGTTGGTTGCTGAGCTTGAACTCTGGCCTGGGAGCTGTCCCAGAGCTCTTCAGTTAAAGATTAGCGCTCTACCACTTGAGCCACAGTGCCACTGACAGTTGATAATAGTCTCATGGACTTTCCTGCACAGGCTAGCTTTTAACTGTGATCCTCAGATCTCAGCCTCCTGAGTAGTTAGGATTACAGGTGTGAGTCACTAGCACCCGGCTATTTTGATATTTTTATTTAAAGTATGTGGAAAGAGAATTAAATAGTTTATATCCCCAAATTCCCTTTTTGACTAAACCATAGTAAAAGACAAAGTAAGAACAATGGAGTAGATTGTACCTTCCTCTCTGATCCTGCTGACTGTTTAATTACAGAAAAGATATTACCTTCAAATTCCTTGTCTCTTTTCTGTGTGGAATATCTGTCAGCCCCTGATACTTTCTTCTGCAAATGTTTATAATTTATTCAAGTCAACTTCTTACTGATTTCTGAATTTGTTTTAATAAAAGTTGCCTACCTTAGCCGGGCGCTGGTGGCTCACGCCTGTAACCCTAGCTACTCACGAGGCTGAGATCTGAGGATCGCAGTTCAAAGCCAGCCCGGGCAGGAAAGACCGTGAGACTCCTATCTCCAATAAACCACTAGAAAACTGGAAGTGGCACTGTAGCTCAAGTGGTAGAGCGCTCGCCTTGAGCTGAAGAGCTGAGGGACAGCACCCAGGCCCAGAGTTCAAGCCCCATGACTGACAAAAAAAAAAAGAAGAAAAGGAAAAATAGAGGGGAATAAAGGAACTGTTCATATTAGATGAGAACTGAAACCTCATGGATACATATTCACATTTCTTACAGATGAATAACTAAAAGTTTATGGACTTTGTACCTTAAGTGAAAAAATTGAGAGCAATCATGGAAATTGATTTCCTTTTCTTCTTCTCTATCACTCACTATTTACCATTCCTTTCACAAGAAATCCTGAAAATTTGACAGAGGAATGTCAAAATGCTCACAGTAAGGTAAAGATTAAGAGCATGTCAGTCAACATTTCAAGGCTATATGTCCTTCATTTCTAACTCAACAAATATCCTGTTTCATTGGTTAGGAGACTATAAAGACTCAAGAAACAACTCACATCTCTGTACTTCAAGAAAACCTAATAATAGATTGTGGCTAAATTGCAGTAAAGGGAATTGTGTATATTCACCAGGTTTATGCCCAACTTAAAACTCTTTCACAAAGAGAAAGAGATGACGGTGAACTATCTTCTTAAATCAAACTTGCAAAGTTTACTGAAGTGCTCTGTAATTATCCTATAGTCATTGCTGTGATTTTGTCTTCCAGTGTGTATGTACAGAGAACCATCACTACATGAAATTGGAGAAAAACAAGGGCGTTCAAGGAAAAGTTCTGGAACACCAACCATGAATGGAGGCAAAGTCGTGAATCAAGACTCAACATAGCTGAGAACTCTGCCCTTCTTCCCTCTCCTTCCTTTCTTTCCTCTTCCCCTCCTTGCCCCATTTCCTTCCAAAATCCACCCAAGAGAGAAAGATAAAATGGCACCGCAGGACCTAGTAGCTAAGATTCTGCACTCAAAATCTTCCTTTGTGTAGGACAAGAAAATTGAACCAAAGCTTGCCTGTTGCAATGTGGTAGAAAATTCACGTGCACAAATATCATATTTTAAAAAGCAATGGAAAAAAATAAACCAGGACTCCACAAACATTAAATTAAGCTGTGTTGTTATTCATAGAGGGCTAATTGTCATGAAGACATTACTGTAAATAAGATGAAATAAAATTTACATAAAAGAAAAGGATTTTAAAGAAATGAACTTGAACTCAGAGATCAACGTTAGACCTTAAATCGCTCAAACTCTGGAAAATGCTGTGATAATATTTGTTTGATTTTTTTTGTATTTTCTTTGGACATCTGGAAATAACATATGATTATATCCTGTAAACCTGGAAATTTTTTTTAGCCATGAAATCAAACGATGTATGAATTATACTCTTCTAATGCCTATTAGGTATGTAACCAGGAATCATTCAAAAACGTTTTAAAAAATTACTGTTGAAGATGTTCAGATTGGTTTTTGTAAAAGAATAGTCAATCACTAATAGCTGATTTAATTCCTTTATATAGAGGCAGATTCTCCTAGGAGAATATCCTATCTTCTCAAGGTATTAGTTTACAATATCACTTTTTAAATCATACAGAAACAAAAATTCTTGTCTTAAATGCTAAAGTAACTTCTGGAAATCCTCCACCATTGCTATGTCTCTTTGGTGAGGCCCAAGTTACTTGCTCTTTTGATTTGTTCTTAGTTTTCATTTTGTGGGCACTCTTGAGAGTATAGGTGCATGTCTAGCTATCTTAGAGAGTTTGGTACCATCTCTTGCAGCAGGAACGAAGAATGATTGGCTTTACATAAGGGAATAAGTCCAAGGACATGGGTAAAAGCAGATTACATTTGCTTTTGTACCTAATAAGAACTGAAAAATACAGACTGTATGAGAAACTAGGAGGCATGGCTGTGAGATTCTTAACTTACTATCTTTATGAAGCCAGTGGCTTGTTTGTTGATATCTATCCACGTTTGGTCCATATGTATAAGTTTAGATGACAGTAAGTCTATCTTGGAGAAGATAAAAAGTTATTATACACTGACTTTTCAAGGAGCATAGAGAAATGATATGTAATTAACAATTGTGATTCCAACAGACAGAATTGTTTGAGTAGCTTGAAGTAGCAAAAAAGAACTCACTATAACAGTAAGCAAACACACTGTTAGGAATACTAACGTATTAGAAAATATCAGCAAAGAAGTGAATGTTATACAATTGCATTGGAATAATTAGATCTACGTAGCCCTACAAATCAGGAATGGTGTAGAGACATCCAAATTAAAACAATAAAACAAAACAGAATGCTAAAATTGTATGCAGATTTATGGATATTATTAACGAGAAGACTTAGCATGTAACTTCTCCTATATCTCTACTGTCCAGCATGTATTATTCCAAATATGACTCCCTAAAATATATACACTTTGCAGAAGCTCTAGGCCCTCACCTCAAATCATGCCATCAGTTGCTGTATTCTTTCAAGGTTGACATAGTGTCCCTGGCTCTACACAATCATTATTCAATGTGCTTCTTGTCCCTCACCAAGTATCCTCTTTTATGTTCTCAGTGGGTAGCAGGAAATGAACTGGGGGAATTTGCCTGAGTTGAGAAGAATAAATGATATACTTGTAGACAAGAATTTTGAACACATTTGCAATGGATACTTGTTTAATCAAAATATCTGGAAAATAACAAATAAATACATTTAATTTTTTTACAAAAAGGAATGTTGCTCTTTAAGGAAAAGAATACCCTTGTAAATACACGAATCTGGCTGTATATTCCTTGTCACTGTTGATTTCACTTGACTCTAAATACACTTGTCACTTTCAGGACCAAACAAATTCCAAGCACAAAGCCTTATTTTCTTCAAGGAAAATAAAAGAACAGAACTTTTCAATAAAATGGGTCATGGGCTGTTTTAGCATGGAATGTCTGGAGCTTTGTGGTAAAGCACATATAACCAACCACAACACAACTGACAGCGTCACAGGTAAAACAAATATTGGTGTTCACAATCACCCATTTCACTGGCAATTTCATGACAATCTATATTTAATCTGGTTGATTATGAAAAAAAGAAAATGATACAGATATGGATCTACAATAAAATACCTTCTCTATTTTCTATGGTTGCCCATTGTTTCTTGTTTCTTGTTTATACCCACATTTACTTCCTTCTGAATAGCAGTTCAAGTGGACCTTCCTAACTACTCAGTTTACATGATGCTTTCATTAACATCATGGCCATCAAAAGTTCACTGTAATGAAATGTTTCAAAATTATCTTTCTTTGATTTTCAAATCATTTCAGAGAATACATAAGAAATCTCACATTTCTTTTACACCTAAGTAAATGACAATAATTGTGGTTCAGGGAACAGGTAAATATTTGCTTAGTTAATGATTTAAGTTTGTTTTGTTTTTGTTTTGTTTTTGTTTTGTTTTGTTTGTCAGTCTTGGGACTCAGGCCCTGGACACTCTCCTTGAGCTTTTCTGCCAAAGGCTAGTGCTCTGCTACTTTGAACAGTTTTCTGACGGTTAATTGGAGATAGGAGTATCATGGACTTTCCTGCCCTAGCTGGTTTTGAACCACAGATCCTCAGATCTCATCCTCTTGAGTAGCTAGGATTATAGTCAAGAATCACCAGTGCCCAGCTATGGCTTAATTTTTGAGTATGTTCAAATGATTAGTGTAAAGAATCAAGATTCTCCAAGTTAAAAAAAATCTCAAATATAGACATATAACTGTCCAGTTTCTTTCATGACTCAGATTTTATATTTTTGCTTGGCAGTTTTATTCTAAGTCAAACAATTCTTTGCTATGATTCTTATTGTTTTAAAGCCAAGTTCTTCACCCTTTTCTTTTTATCAAATAAGATTTTGATTTTCAAAAAACATTATTGGGCTATGCCTCAGAAAAATTATGGCTTTTATTAAAGCTATGAAATTGACCATGTAAATATAAATTATGACAAAGTTACTTAAGAATTCTGTTTCAAAATCTACGGACTAAAGAATAAAAAGTAATTGTTTTATAAGTCTCACTGAATAGCTTTGGATACTATATTTACTTCATTTTTTTTAGCTAGAAGATTGAGGCTTAGAAACAAATGCTACTTAAGTTCCTTGCTAGTTCAGAGATGTTTGAGCATCAGCAAATTCAGACAGGAAGCCATCCTATTCATTCCAGTAAGAGTTTTGGCTTTGAATTATATATTTAAAACTCATAGCATATTGTTATTATAGAATTGCTCACCTCCAAAAAATGCACACATCATTATAAATGATGTAATTCTTTATTGGTCAGAAAACTTGCTCAGAAAAGCTCTTCTATTTCTTTTTTTAATATATATTTTATTATAAAGATACTGTACAGAGGGGTTACAGTTACATGAGTAAGGTAATGAGTACATTTCCCATTGAGCATGTTACCCCCTCCTTTGTTTTTCCCCTACTATCCATTCCCTCCCCAACTTCTCCTTCCCCCACCAAAGTTGTAAAGTTCATTTTCAACATAGTGTCTTGTACATCTCATTGTTACAATAGGCTAACCTGTATCCTTATTTCAGCTTTGTTGTTATTTCCCTTCCCCTCCCCAAATTAGAAAATGGTATATACAAGATGCAGAACACCGGAATCAAATACAGTGAAAACGGGTTATACCATGAGGGAAGAACATACAAAAGAAACAAAAATAATCACATATTACATTATAAGTACATTAAAAACAACAACAACAAAGATAAAACCTCTTGTATCCCTATCTTGGGGTTCATTTTGCTTAGCATCCTCTTATATGGTCATATGTCCATGGAACCTATGTTTCTTTGGGTCTGGCTTACTTAACATAATTTTTCCAAGTCTTTCCATTTCCTAACAAATGGGGTGGTGTCATTCTTTCTGATGAGGCATAGAATCCCATATTGTGTGTGTGTGTGTCCATGCGTGTGTGTGTGTGTGTGTGTGTGTGTGTGTGTAGAGCTCCCCTATGACCCAGCAATCCCACATTTGGGCATTCACCCAAATGATCACAAACAAGGCCATAATAAAGCTACCAGCACAACTATGTTTATTGCAGCATTATTCACCATAGCTACCATATGGGATCAACCCAGATGCCCCTCACTGGATGAATGGATCAAGAAAATGTGATACACACACACACACACACACACACACACACACACACACACACACAAGCTCT